ATGATTAGATTTAGTGGATTGGGTTCAATGCTTCAAGGCAAAGGTGACCATAATTGACAAAAGGTACCTTATGGCGGGTAGTGAAATTTGTCTTTCTAGCCTAAGAAATCCAACTTCCTGAGCCCCATTCATCATAAAATTACTCCACATGATGCAAAAAGTTACCATGAAACTTTTAGAAACAATGATTGTCTAACAAAGCACTCACAGGTAGATATTTTCCATTATAATGATCAATTTTAAAATCCGCCATAAGGGCCCTTTTGTCAATTATGGTCACAAATAATTAAAAACAAATTATTGGGCAACTAATAGATAATTTAACACTTTAAAAACTCATAAATACTGATATTTAATTCTTCCTCCTGAGACTTCTCTCCTATCAATTATTGAGAAACATTGGCCAAAACTCTTGTGCTATTATAGTACAGGGGCTTTGGCCCGATTTTGGAGCAACTTAAAAAATTCACAAAAAATTCAGTTTTGATCGGAATCAGCTCAAACTTTCTGCACAACATAACAATATGTATACATATCTGGAAAAATTATAAAAATAGAGAATTCTCTCCTTTTCATTTTTGGCAAAATTTTGCCAAAACCCCTGTGCTATAGTACAGGTACTTTGGCCCGATTTTGGAGCAACTTTAAAAATTTATAAAAAATTTAGTTTCGATCGGAATCAGCTCAAACTTTCTACACAACATAACAATATGCATACATATCTGGAAAAATTATAAAAATAGAGAATTCTCTCCTTTTCAATTTTTACAAAATTTGGCTGAAATGCCTGTACTATAATAACAGGGACTTTGGCCTGATTTTGAGGCAACTTAAAAAATTCATAAAATCTAATTTTGATCAGAATTAGCTTAAAACTTGTACATAATTATAAGTACACATATACATGTACCGTAAATGTTCAAATAAAAGCCCGGGCATTAATTTCTTTGCAAGACAAAAAATTTTGTAAAATAAAATTAAAAAATGTAAAACCGGGATTTGAACTCGCAACTCCAGGATCATTGACCTCAGCTTAACAATTTAGGCCATTTGAGACACTCTAAAGTGGAGGCTAGCTATACTGACTAAAATATGCGTATCTATACTTGGAGACTAATCAGACTATTAGTACCAGGCATTTATTCAAGCCCGGCTTTTATTTAAACATTTACAGTATGTACATGTACATGTAATGCATTAGAAAATGCAATAAAATGGCAAACCATTTTGTAAGAAATAACCTTGTGTTATAGACATTGTATTACTTGGTCAACTTTTTGTGACTTTAAAAATTCCTAAAATCTAATAATTGCCAAAATCAGCACAAACTTTCTACAGCACATACATGTAGGCCTGGCATGCATACATGTACATGTACATCCAAATTTAATCAGATAATGTAATAAAAGACGTGAAAACATAGTGAGAGACAATAAGACAGGGAAGGAAATCAAAATTAATGTAAAAGACAGAGCATATTGTACACAGGTACATTTGTATGTGACTGTCAAACAAGTGCATATACATGTGCATGTACATGTCATGTACAGCACAGTACATGTATGACAGTATTCACAGCACAACATCATTTCACGTACACACCTAATGGCCACATGAACAACTGCATCAAAATACTATTACTGTATTCAAGAAATTAATTGCTGTTGTAATAATACTAATAACAATGGTAAAAATGACATCATACTCTACATATTGTACATTTACATTCCTTTTTGTGTACATGTACAAGTGTTAATTTGTGTCTGTCTGACTATAAATGTTATTTGGTTGTCTGGCAACATTCAATTTGTTTCAATAATTGAATTAAATGGGCATGTACACACACTGACCATTCTTGATGCATTCTGGTCATAATG